AAAAAAAAAAAAATAGAAAAATTAGCCAAGTATAGTGGCATAGGCCTATAGTTCCAGCTACTCAGGAAGCTAAGGCAAAAGGATTGCTCAAGCCCAAGAGTTTGTGGTTGCTATGAGCTACGATGATGACATGTCACAGCACTCTCCCAGGGCAATAAAGTCAGACTCTGACTCAAAAAGAAAAGAAAAAGAAAATTTGCTACGATTTATCGTGGAGATGGATGCACAACTCTGTGAATATACTAAATGCTGTAGAATTATACACTTTAAGCGAGTGAATTGTTTGGGATGGGAATTTATCTCCAAAAAGCTATTTTTTAAAGTCATAGGTCTACCTTCTAAATTAATTTCCTAGGAATAGAAGTTGTTCTCACATTTGCAATTGAAAGCTGAGCCAACAGGGAAAAACCAAGAACAAGTCACACACACAATGTGTCCACTGCTTAGGAAACATTTAAAGTAGTTAAGCCACAAATCATCCAAGCAAAGGGACACAGTGCAGTTTAGAAAATTCGGTGGCAACAGACATCCTCATAAAGTCCCTGAGTCTCTGACAGAGCCCCATTATAAGAGACTGCCTCTAAGATGGAGAACAGGGAGGCTGAGAACCAGGACAGGAAGAATACTTACTTCTCCATCCCAAGAGAAATATCTACATCATTTCATCTATTACTTTTTCAACTAAAAATAGTTGATGAAAATACACACTGAAAATAAAAATCTGAATCCCTGGCTCAGTGTCTGTAGCCCAAGAAGCTAAGGCGCCAGCTGCATACATCAAAGCTGGCAGGTTCAAATCCAGCCCGGACCTGCCAAACAACAATGACAAATACAACCAAAAAATAGCCGGGTGTGGTGGTGGGCACCTATAGTCCCAGTTACTTGGGAAGCTGAGGCAAGAGAACCGCTGAAGCCTAAGAGTTGGAGGTTGCTGTGAGCTGTGATGCCAGGGCACTGTACCAAAGACAACCTAATGAAACTCTGTCTCAAAAAAAAAAAAAAAAAAAAGATTGATTATTCCTAATGGAATCTGAGCTAATCTTGTTTCCTGCAGTATCTTGTGCTCCAAGCACATATTACTTTTGTTTCTACATTAAAACGGGGTTTCTGAACCTCAGCACTATTAATATGTTGGGCTAGACCATTCTTTGTGGTGGGGGAAATGTCCTGTGCACTGTAGCATAGTTAGCAACACCCATGGTGTTTACATGCTCCAAGTTAGAAGAACCAAGAATTTCTCCAGAAGTTGGCAAATGTCCCCAAGGGGCAAAATCACCTGTGACTGAGAACCACTTGGTGCTTCGTTAAAATAAAACTTTCCTCAAACTGGATGGATAACACATACGTGTTAATTTTATTATTTTTCCAACTGTACACATATATTATGTACCGTTTTGTATAAATGGTATATTTCTTAATCTAACACTTAATAAAAATATACATCATTTTAAAAGTTAGGCTCGGCGCCTATAGCTCAACCGGCTAAGGCGCCAGCCACGTACACCTAAGGTGGCGGG